AACAAAACCAGCAACGCAACATCCCCCCCCCCCCCGATGGACAGATGTTCCTGAATGTCATAGACATATGTTCCAAAGAAACAGAGCTTACCTCCCCTGAGCAGGCAGGTCACACTGGACAGGTTTCTAAATCTCCTTTGTCACACTGCCGTGTCTAGCCAAACCTTTGCCCACTGCTTCCTCACCTGGGTCAGGGTACACCGGAGTGCTTTCAAACAGGACAGAGGTGGCTCCATTGCAGAGTGGTCCATACACAACATAGCTATGTCCCGTGATCCAGCCAATGTCAGCCACACAGCCAAAAACATCGCCTTGCTGGTAGTCAAATACGTACTGCAAAGATAAATGTGAGGCCAGCTGACTTTCTGTTGGCAGGCACAAACAGCTTAAAGGTAAGGTGCTGGACTGGACATCCAGGTGGGAGCAAGAGAGTGCACAGGGCAAGCGGAGCCAGGCACATAGGACACCACAGTACAAAGGCCAACCCGAGGTGAGGAAACAAGTCAGAGGGACCAGTACCAGGGCTTCCAGGCTCCTGACTGCTTTTGCAAAAGCACAGGGAGCATGGCTGTACCAGCAGCTGCTCAGACTGGAGCAACAAAGCTACAACCAAAGCCCAGAGCCCTGGATACCTAAGGTTGCCTACTCCAGTCAGCCCACATGCGAGAGCTGACTCTGAACTGCAGGGAAGCTGCAGGCCTTGGAGGCTCAAACCCCTCACCAATATCAACAGGTTTCCATGAGAAAGCTGGAGAAACTGATAGGTGCCCGTGAAACATTTTCTGATAAACGTTCTTAACTGCTCAGATTCTCCATTAGTATATTGCTTTCCAGATCCTCCCTCTCCCTGCTTATCAAATTCAAGATAAAGATCTTGGAGAACTCATTATCTTGTCTTGGTTATGGAAGATGCTTCGCACTGTAAATCTAACTCCTCTATCGTATGGTGAAGAGGTCCTGACTCATAAGGCTGAGTCAGCTTTATGTTTCAAATGAAAGAAAGTGGATCAGAACTAAAAGAAAACCCCACGAGTGTGCAACAAGAGTGTCACACATGAGTGTGCAAAGACCACAGAGGCCACACAGCTCAGCTGATCCCTCTACCTAGGAGAGCCAATTCTCAACTTACTTTTGCAAGTGCCTTTCCCTCGCAGGCTCTGAAGTACCTCTAAAGGGACCACAGCTGCATACAGTGCCTCCCTGCATGTCTGCACCAGGGTGCAGGATCTACCTTCTGGACTAAGAAAGAGAGAGATGCTTTGGAGATTACACTGTGACTTAGAAAAGCTGACATAACAAATACCCTCCATGCAGAGAAGTGACACTTGCACATTCAAGTCTTCTAAAAATTCAACTCTGTCAGCCTAAAGAGAAAAAAACTCTGCCTGAATTGTATGTGATTACAAACAGGGTGATACCACTAAAGCCAGAGGGAGATCTTTCACTGCAGTCCTCTCCATATTTCACTGTTATCTTATCATATGCAGAGCTCAGACTAGAAGCTTCAAGAAGCAGTGCCTTGACTTTTTTTTTTTTCATGAGAAACAGGATGAAAACATTCAGCCTAGATCACAGAGAAAAGCAGCACAAAGGTGCAACCATAGAGCATGAATGTAATTTTTGATCTTCAGACAAGTGCTATGCAAAGAGGTTGTTTTAAGAGTCCAGATCCTCTCCGAAATAAAAAAGGCCAGCATCCCTCTGCAAAATACTACAGTAATATCCACATTACTGATGCCAGTAAGATACTTCTCAGAATCTCCTCAGCTGCGTCATTTTAATGTCTGGCCTGCAACACTAGCATATTTAAAATGCAAAAGTAGCAGCACTGCAGTTTCTTTCCTTTCATAACTCTAGGCTCTGGTTTGCATAGTATTATATTCCCCAGGAACAAATCCTGAAGATTAATTACACATTCTCAGACATTCTTCAGTTTGTTTACACCCAGTAAGTCAATTGGGCAGCGAACACAGAATACAGCACCCCTCATCAGTCCAAGTCCCTCTCGTTAGTGCTGCTGGAAGGTAAGTGAACCTTTTCCAGAGGATGCAGCTGAGTTACCTTGTGCGTGATAGCAGCGTACAGCAGGTATCCACCGTGGGTGTGAACGATTCCTTTGGGTTTTCCAGTGCTGCCCGAGGTATACAGCATGAAAAGCACGTCTTCGCTGTCCATGCTCTCTGGAGTGCATACAGAAGCTGCCTTGGCCATCTCCTAATGAAAAAAAAAGGTGGTAATGACATATTTTGGCTATATCGAGCCAACCAATATTCCATCTGTAAGCATGTCAGCAGTGTCCAGAGACAAGAACAACCATTGCTGTTGCCCCCTCACTAACATCCAAGGTTGTATCATAGGTTATAAGTGCTCACCTAGTGGAAAGGTTCCTGTGGACACACAGCACCTAGCCTTTCCACCAATACCTCTGCTAGGTGCAGAAGTCAAGGGGAATTGCCCAGATAAAATAACATTTCAGGAAAAAAATGGTAGGTCATAGCTTACATTTCAAGGCTTTGCAAGCTGCTGGTAGAAAACCAAAGTGTGACTGCAAACATGAACCACACTTGACAGCAGCAGCAAGGCTCCCTGGATACTGTTTAAGATCTTCCTTTTCCTTTTAAAACTGCAGTGCTACAGTCAAACTGCGTGTTCATCTCCCTTCCCTGGCCCCACCAAAGGATGACTGGCCTGCCCATTTGATCCTCAAATTCTAATTGCTTCTACCCATGAGATGGAGAGTGCTTTACTCTCCTGCCTCTGTCACTCTCCTCATACTGCACTGTTTGGCCAGGTGGGTGAGATCCTCTCCTCACTCCTTTGGTCTGAACCACGGGAAGGAAGGATGCAATGTCCTACTAGGTCAGAGCAAAGTTTTAGTTCAGCTTGTGTGCTCAGTCCAGCAGAGGAAGGGGAAATAATGTGCTTTGAAAGAGATGCTTCTGGTCACTGAACCTTGTAGCAGCAGAGAGCTTGTCTGCCCAGACTGTAGATTTTTCAGAATGAGGTTGAACATTTTTCTTACCCATGTACAAACTTGGAATAATCACCGTGTGTTCCAGATGCTCAACATATGGCTGTAAAAAAAGCACAGCTGGCTTGCTTCTCTCAAGCTCTGTACTGTCCTAGATGAATAATGATTCCTGCAAGAGTTATTAGGTGGCTCTTTGAAGGAATTTCTAGATACTGAGGTACTGCCTTTTCACAAGTATACACTGTAAACACGCTGTATTTACAAGTGAACACTATCAACGGCAGGTCCAGTTGTTTAAAAGTGTCTGACAAACAAAGCTTAATAAAATACAAAGAGCTGATAGTGTCAGATGTCATTCTTAGCCTCTGAGTTACAGCACTCCTGCTCATCTCAGGTATTTATTCAGACATTTCAGCACTGCCAATTCAGGCTGACTTGCCAGTTTTTGAAACTAAGATGGAGTTCTCATATGCTCCATTACAACATGAGCTTAAATTTTGCAGTAAGCCATTGCACAAGAGCTGGAAAGCACAGCTGCTGTAAAGACCAGTAATGACAGAGTTAACAGCATTAATGGTTCAATTCTTGTTACGTTTCAGACACTACAACTGACAATGGGCCGAGTTCAGCTCTTGGATCACCAAAGCGACTCAGGCTGTTTGCAGACTAAGGAAAATTGTCAGAATGTGCTTTGTGGAGTAAGAATGAGTAAGACAATTTCCAAATAAAACCTGCATTCTCTGTTTAACTTACCCTAGTAGTTGCTCCTATCTCATGTGACCAGCACAGGGACTCCGGAGTAATTATCTTGGCTGCAGACGGGGGATTTCCAGGCATTATTACGATGAGTAGTTTCTGTTTACTGCTGCCCGCAAACTGATAAAACTACTTCTGCATTAGGCTGCAGTCCCCTGTGTACCAGCTAAACACACTAAAACAACTGCTGTTTTCTTCCCAAGGAAGCACAGGCTCTAAATATTCTCAAGCCATCACTGTTCTCCCATCATGGAGTAACCATGACATTGTCCACGGGCTGTATTAAGCCTCTCCAGGTACTTGATTATTTCTGCACTGCCTTTTAACAGTTTCCAGTCTGACAGTGCATATGACAAACCATAACAGAGTGCCTGAACACAGTACAACAGCAGCAGCAATGGTATCAGTGCACTCTGGGTCTCAGGAAACACTCATTCCTTAATCTCAGCAGTGTTTGCAAGACTACTAAAATGGAGCAGCACACCCCCTGCCCATGCTGAGATGAATCAGACATGGATTGAGCTGCTTCAACTCACAGTCCTAGCAGACTGTAAATACAGGCAATCCATTTGAGGATGAAGATCCAGATGCCATAAAGGGCATCTCCTTTTCATCTGCAGAACTCAAATCCCAAAGGCACAGATGGAGAGAAAGATGATCTAGCCAACGCTCAGGCCTAAAAGGAGTTATCCAGGATGTCGCTGGGCATCTGCAGAGCTAGGTGACTGCAGGGACGTACAGAGGCAACACAGCTGTATCCATTAGCCCACCGGGGTACTGTGGAAGCACGGGAAGAGCAGAACACGCTGAAAACCTGCTCCAGAGGCAGCAAAAAGCCAGTCATTGCTGGCAGGTCTGCTGCGGCTACACTAGAGTGCCAACCTGCAGTGCAGTGGCTGCATCATAGGCTTTTACCTCAGCACACATACGCAAGTATGGAGACTGTCTGACCTTCCTTGGGTGCCGATTCCCAGTGTAGCCTATAGCAGAACAAAAGACCAAAGCCAAATAGTAGTGTGTGCATTTTCTACACATTCAGCAAGACTCTCACGCACATGTTCCGAACAGCCCTGCATTGGGTCTCTCAGAGATGTCTGTGTTAGCTGGTCCCTACATTTATCAGTGCACCATATTTCTCTCCCCCAGCACAGTAAACATCACATACTTCAAAGAAACATCAGAGGAAACAGGCAAGGTTTACAACACCAACATACCTCCTCCAGGGGAATATCACGGTCACCCATCCAGACTTTGTTATCTGTCCTCTGAGCCACAAAGACGTGTTTGATGCTTGGACAGCTCTTCACAGCTTCATCCACAGTCGTCTTCAGCTCTATGATTCGGCCTCCCCTGACGCCCTGGTTGTAGGTGATAACTGCTTTGCATCCAGCTAAAAAGAGAAAGAATTAGCAGACATACCAGCCTCTCTTCCAGGCTAGTGCGTGCACCCTGCTTTCCTTCCTTTTGGGGATGATGTACAGGACAGCATGTGTGACAAATACTCAGAACTCCTATCAATCAAAACCAGTCAATGTCACTGACAAAAACACTTTAAAATCTGAGACCCACAGAGATTAGGAGCAGCTGGAACCTCCCTAGGTTTTCTAGTCCATCTCCCCCACCCCAAGGCAGGGTCCACTCCAGCTAAACCATTTCTGACAGCCGTCAGTCCAATCTTCCTAAAACACTCCAATGGTAGGTATGCTATCCTCTCCCCGCCAGTCCACTCTAATGCCTGTCATGAACATGAGAAAGTCTTTCCCAATGTCTAGCCTAAGTATCGCTCACTGCAATTTAAATGCCTCCGTTCCCGCCTAGCAAAGCCGACTTGCAGTTTTTTCCCAGTTACCTGTGTTGTAGTGAAAACTGCTGCTTTAGCCTAACAGCTCACATGCTGAAACCTGCGCAAGACTTCCTACGACCTTAGCGAACAAGCTCGTTTGCCCCCCTCTCATCCTCTCTCTGGGGCTGCATGTAAGTGCCCATTGCAAACTGAAGTGAACCAAATTCGGCAGCCTCTCGCAGGCATTCTGCTGCTCTGAGATACCCGCAGCCTTCTGAAACTCACCCGTACCTTGAGGGGAAATCTCCTGGAAGCCCCAGCACACGGCAGCACTCTGGCAGAGCACTTCACATGGTACCATGCTACGTTATTACAGAGCTGTGGCAGCAGAGAAATGGCTCTTTAGCCCATCACCTCCACACAAGTGGCCAAAAGTGAGGGATAACTAAAACATGTACTTTCTCTCTATAGATTAACTCGAGTAAAACAAATAAACAAAAAAAAGCATGAAAGCTGCTGTAAGACTTATTCCCTCACATTAGCCATTAAGAAACTGATGTGACTGCTAAGACATACGCCACTTGCTATTTTGTTCTTCTGCTGGTATTTTTAGCATTACTTTTTACCTAATCACACTACAAGTGCTTCGGGCTAAGAACAGCTCTGCCTGTTGGTACAACGGCTAACAGAGCGGGGGCAGGCTGCCAACGCTTCCAATGCTATACATAAATCACAGTATCACAATTGAGACTGCAGAATTAGCCCTGCGCAGGAGTATCAAAGAAACACTGCGATTATACTGCAAAAGAACAAAGCAAGCCCCATTCCTAAGCTCTGGTTTTCCCTCCAGCTTCACTGCTGTCTGGCAGCAATCCAGCCACAGACTGAATGTTAAGCAATTTGTAAAGTATTTTAAGGCCAGAGGATACTGCATCTGCCACTAAGGAAAAGGCTCTCCACAGTACTTTGCAAAGGAGACTGAACTGTCCCATCAGCTGAGAATGAATCTTTTCTCTTTCTGCCAAGGAAACACAGAATTGGGATATGTCTTGGAGCACTGTCCAGAGGGGTTAGCTCCCCAGTCTGCATCTACTTACAGTCCATGATCCTCCCAGCTAAGGACTCCGCGCTGAATCCAGCGAAGACCACAGTGTGAACGGCACCAATCCTGGCGCAAGCCAGCATGGCTGCCACAGACAGGGGAGACACGGACATATAGATGGCCACCTTGTCCCCTTTCTGTATCCCATATTTCTTCAGGGTGTTGGCAAGACGGCAAGTCAGATCCAGAAGTTCCCTGCGGCACAGAAGCAACGCTGTCATGCGACCGCACAACCTGTTTTACGCCAGGGAGCAAAAAAAGGATGAACTTGAACCGAGCGAGGCATCGCGATCACTTCTGGACCTGGTCATCTCAGCAGTAGAGGGCACGTCTGCTTTTGCATCTTAAAGAAGGCTGGCCTGGGGTGTGGTGAGAGCCAGACTGCTCCTGCCACTGGGGAGAGAAGGGGGGCAGAGAGCCATGCTTGCTGCAGAAGGATGAGCGAGCTGCCAGCAAGCCAGTGGCCATCCTGCTGCCTCCAGAAGTCAGTGTCCATTCTAGCCATCCTTGATGCCTTTTTTTACCTACGAGTCTCAATCAGAAGCTACTGGAAACATATGTGGGATAAACACAAGATGAAAAGGAAGCGTTGTCCAAAGATTCCCAGCACTGTTTATGTTGGGGAACTGCCAGAAGTGCTTCACAACTAGTAGCTTCTCTTATACATTGGAAGGGTAAACAATGCATTTGCATGCATAAAGAAGAAAAGCAGCAGCCCCGAGACACTTGTGCGAGTGGCAGATTTTACAAGACTCTCATCAAAGCCACATCACTCGCAGCCCGAATTCCTCCATTGTCACTTCACCCTGCCGTGCAAAGCGCAACGGCCTCGCAGAACAGAGACGCTGCTCCAAGTAAAACCACAGCCACTCTTGCACAGAGAAACTCGGGAACACTGAGAACAGGAACAAAGGCTCTTTTCACAGGGCTCGCCACTGCGACGTGCTCACTTAATAGCAGAAACGTCCCCCTAAGGAACAAAAAAGCAGTCTGTGTGTAAGTACCTGCATGTACTTCTGATGCCTGTGTGGGGGACAACACGATTGCAGCATCTGGGACCAAGATGCTGTCGTGAACTGAACAGCTCTGCGTGCCTACAGCGGAAGGGCTTTGAGAAGATGACGGGTAACTGTGCCAGGCAAGGAGTGGTCTCACACCAAGGAAGGAGGTGACCCTCACGAGGGGCAGCAGAACACCCCTTACTGGTGCCAGCCATCAGCTCAGAGGAGAAACTCACAGAGTCTGCCAGGAATGAAAATTGTCCTCTGGATTCAGGAACTTGCTGAGTACCGAGGCCCAGAGGAGAGAGAGATCTTCTACTCCCTAGCACACTCATCTTCAACCTGTCACCTGTGAACCCTGAGGGCTCTGTAAACTACGAGGGACTCCAAAAACTGTTCACAAACAAATGAATTTCGGGGGTCTGCATTCCATAATAAGCTGTAAAGCATCCTTATTGCCTAGAACTGGCCATAGCTGTGAAAAAACAAACAAACAAAACCATTTTTCAGCTGGTGGCTAAGCTGCAAAGAAAATGAAACATTGTTTCTAGTCCATTAAAAATCGTTTTATATCTTTTTTTTAAATCAATGCAAGTTCGAAATAGGCAAACCCCAGTGCTCCACTTTGGAAATGTTGTAACAAAACCATGAGCTGAGAATAACTTTGCATCTCCTTTAGGAAAAAACTCCATCTGCACTGTGAGGGCAGTGAAGCAACAGAGAAAGTTCGAAGACAGATACAGTGATGGCTGGAGGGATACCACTTCCCTGCCATCTTTTGGAAGATAAGGAAAACGAGCCTCGAATCCCAGCCACAGCACTTTGTGCTATTTATTTTAAGACTATTCCTGCAGCATCAAGTAAATCGAACACCCCTGAAGCACAGGAACTCAGAGAGGTGCCCAGGCGTGCTCAGCGCCTGCTCTCTGGCAGTAGCTGGCAACAGCTGCCACCGCAGAGACCACAACCCTGCAGAAAGCACATACGGAGTGGCTTTACCCCGGACTGAATTCCCTCCTAATCCTTTACAGCTAGAGATCAGCCTAAACCCCAAAGTACAACATTCAATACCTCTTCCCAAGCGTTTCATGACCATGCACGTTCCTGCTATCGACATAACTGCACAGTCTGTCAGATGTATTATTTTGCTTACTTTTACTAAGTTCATGAACTGAGCGACTCCGTGCCAATAACAAATTCCCACCCAACATTTGGTTTTGTGCCTTGTCGTAAAAGGTCACATTTAGGACAAGAGGAAATGGCCTCAAGTTGTGCCAGGGAAGGTTTAGATTGGAAATTAGGAAAAAATTCTTCACCGAAAGGGTTGTCAATCATCGGAACAGGCTGCCCAGGGAAGTGGTTGAGTCACCATCCCTGGAGGTATTTAAAAGACACGTAGACGTGGCACTTAGGGACGTGGTTTAGTGGTGGACTTGGCAGTGTTAGGTTAATGGTTGGACTTGATGATCTTAAAGGTCTTTTCTAACCAAAATGATTCTATGATTCAATTCTCTGGTCCAGAATTCATCCAATGCTGCATTAGAGAAAAATCTCAATGTGGATAAATATTAAAGAGCCAAAACAAAACTAAGCTGCTCAACTGCAGAGCACAGGAAGTAAAACAAGCCCCATACAGACAGTTGTGAGAAAGCAAAATAAAACCCACTTATCTGCGATGGAAAATACCCAAGTGCTTTCAGAGCAGCAGCCTCCTTCTCCCAATCAGAAATGCCAGAAGACCTCTGGCTTTGGGCATCTGTTCTGAGCAACTCCGTGGTTCGCTTGCTTATTCAGGAGTCGGTGACGGTGATGGCAGAAGCTCTCATTGGTTTTTTATGATTAAACCCAATTTAACATTTGCTTAATGAGATTGTGTGAGCAAGCTGGTAGACAATAAGGAGCAAGTCTTCACACCCGGATCTGTTCACTTTGCCTTCTCCTTTGTGCTCTGAAAGGCTGAGATGGGAAGGCCTTGGGGGTCCCTCGGCAGTGCAGCACATGGGGGAACAGACACAAAGGCAGAGAGAAGGTGAAGCCAAGAACTCCAACAAAGAAATCCACAAATCCCTGCGCATCAGGTGTGTCTTCTGGCTCCTGTAGCAGCAACTCAGGCTTCCCCTCCAGTTCAAGAGAGTTAGCAGAAATGCTGTGTCGGGAATCCTTCCCTCGACTCCCTCACTCCTTCACACACGTTTTGCTATCTAACAGGCAGGCAATTAGTACATGCCAGCAGGTTACACATTTCCAGTACTTATCTCAGACATGTCTCAGGGTAGAATGAGCACCCTGCAGGGTCACTGCCCCGCAGAACTGGGTAGGACAGATCTAGCTGAACAGAGCAGGAGGAAACCACGGCCATTACCCTTCCCACCTGCTACTGCTGCCAAGCTTGGCGTCATGGACCCTCCATCACAGAAGGTTAGAAGAGCCAAGAGCAATTCTGGCCTCAGGCTCAGCACTGCCCCACCCTTGGCGGAGAGGCGATGCCATCGAACGCCAGTGGGCAGTGCGGGAAAGGATCTGCCTCCCATCCACACGCAGCAGGTGTGCTGGTAGCAGGGCACATCTACTGAAAACATATATCAGACACTGAACCAAGCTAGACGCTGTCACCCTGGAGCTGGTGAGACAGGTGAGATGAGAGGGTATCTTCACTTAGCTTCTGCCCGCACTGAGACATGGGGTACAGAGGAAAGGTACAGGAAGCGGAGGCTTAGAGTGAAAGTGTCCACCCTAAAAGGGCTCAGCCCTTGCCAGTGAAGGACAGCGGGTGGCCAGAGGCTCGGAGCAGATGTGCACTGCTTCTGCAGACCACAAGAAGAGGGAGAAAGGCAAAATCTCAAGCGACGCTCACCGCGTTGCCGCCTGTCTGCACTCCAAAGGATTTCAGTGCAGCCAACCGATCAGACGGTGCGGAGCAGGGCACTACGCTCAGCGAGGGCAGGCAGGACAACCACCAGAGATGGGCAAAGCCGCAGGGCACACAGAGAGTCTGCAAGCTGGGCAGACAACAGGAGGATCTCAGCAGAGCCACTGCAGGAGAAGGAAACGTGCCACAATGAAAGGAAGTGCCCAGCCCCTCTAGACAGAGACAGCTGAGAAACTGCAAAGTCAGTTTATGGTGCAACCGTCTGCAGATCCTCTGCAAAAGCAGATTGTAAGAGCTGGGAGAAAATAAGCGAGCAAACCAGGCAGCAGAACACCACTTCAGTGGGTAAAGTATCAGGGTGGAGCTGAGAAACAGGGAAGCAGCAACGAGGCCATTTGCGCAAGAGAAAGAACAGTATATATAGCATTTAGCTTTTCAAACGAAGCAAGCCAGGGAGATGGTAGGCGCATTAATGAACATAAGCAGGGAAGGTGAAAGATTATGACACATGGAGGAGATTCTGGAGATTCTTGCTTTCGGAAAATGTTATCTTTCAACTGAAAATGCAGACAAGTCCAACCCATTCATGGTACTACAGGTGTGAGGGTAGATAGCTGCTGAACATGGATTTCACATGAATTTACCCATCCCAACCCTGCACTTCCACAACCAGAGGGAAGCACCATCTTACCCCAATGACGTGCCTGCTCATGGTGCAGCTGACACACTGACAGGCTTTAAACACCACACACAAGAGCTCTGCGGAGATCCAGCTCTTCCCCTGTGCCAGCAGGAAACATGAGCAGGGAGAGGCTGGGTTGCACATAAATCCCCCCCTCCACGTTCATAATGGTGACCCCATTGCAGAACTGCTCTTGGGTTTGCTCTGCAGACCCACAGCCCCCTCACTTCCCTCGGCCTTGGAGCAAACCCTTCATGACTCTTTCATGTCATGACCGGCTGGAAAACCGTTTCCTTTCAGGGACAGAGCAATCAGCACCTGTAGCCCTGTAACGCGGTAGTGCTGTGGCAAGCAACGTGCCACAGGCTTTGTACCAAGTCTGCAAGCTCTCAGGAATGCAGTTTGTGATGGCTGCTCTGTCTGAACTCTTCTTGACCTACCTGCAGCCTTGTTTTGCCTGGTCTAGCTGCAACAGCAATTCTTCTAATTGACCAGGTAACCATGGCTAATTTTTTTTATGCTTCTTTATCTTTTTATGCTACCATCATGGGTTTACGAGGCTAACGTAATGAGGTAGCATAAAGAAATACAGGCCTGGTATGATAAGAGGCCTTGAGAAGTGGAGGCATGGGACATGGCGTGA